CTCACAGCTGCGCAGGATTCCATAGTCTGCCCTGTACGTTGGGTCTGACCGTCATATAAATGGTCCTCCGCGTATATTTATATAATTAATTTTAATTAGTTAATCATAAAATTGCTATAATAGCAGATTACTATAAACTAATATTTAAAAATAAAAATAAAAAATAAAATAAAAAAATAACTCTTTCTAACAATCACTTATTCAAATTTATACCAAAATTTAGTTGAAGAATCAAGACTAAAACAAATAATATTCTTGGTTTTATACAAGCAAACTTATTGTTAACAAAGCTTATATATGTGAAATGCTAAGGAGTAGATATATAACAATAAGCGGGTTTGTGTCTTAAGTCAAGCTTTTCTTCTTGATGAACTCTCTCGAACATTTGGCATCCAAACCAAAAAGATATTCTGGGAACAAGTAGAGCAGTTACACAGTTACAAATATAATATTAGTTTTTAAGCATCTACTATTTTTACGAGAAAGAATTACCGTATTTATTTATTTTTTATTTTTTTCGTTTTTGCTGGGTTGAAAGTTATCGATTTGTGCATAACATCGAAGAAAATAATAAAATTGACACGGTTGGTACTACTGGACTTTGTCCATTCGATAATTTTGGTCTTTTCAACCTTGAAAATGCCGACACCTCCAATAATGATCCCAAACCACCATCACCATCAATGATCCAAAACCACCATCCCAGTAACATAATTTTGTATTTTATCAATAAAAGTTTAACATTAGACAAATGAAAAAATACTACTTCATCGAGTCTTTTTTTTTTTTATTGTAATCATAACTTTTTATTAAAATGAATAAACTTTTAATTATGATCTCAAATAATGGTAAGAATATACGAGCTTAACAATTAAATTCTCGATCGATATGTTTTGAAGCTATTCGAATGTACTTTGTTAAAATATTCTTGAAGCAAATTATTAATCGTGTTAATAACAGTATTTGATTTGAAAAAGAAGTATGTACCCGATCTAATGTCCGGATGATGTCAATGGAAAACTAGAATTTGGACTTTCAAGTTTATTATTTATTATTTACTGGACTCAGCCCTATAACATATATGGTACGTAATTAAATTTACTACGTACGTACGTATCGGTATACCTTTGATCAGTGCTGAATTTAGTAAATAATAAATAATAAACTTGATCTTTTGTGTCACTTATATTTTAAAACTTTTACGTATCATTATTTTTTGCCAAAAATAATAGATTCTGGCTTACTAACTGTAGTTTTCAAAACCTAAATAAGCACTGCCAAGGAAAAACGAATTTAAATATTTACTGTACCAGCCTTAAATTCAAAAAATTATTTCTAATCGGTTCGATAATATTTTTTCCTTTTTTTTTATAAAGTGAATTTTTGGAATGTACATGCATTGTATTTGCTCAAAATGACTAGAAAACTGATTAAATTGCGTATATCATACGTACGATTTTTTTAAAAGTTCAAAATATAGTAAAAATTGAAAAATTTGAATTTATAGGTTGAATACGAATTAGACTAGATTACATAAATTATACGCATGGCCAAATTTTAAATCACCTTTTTATCATAATCATTCACTTTCCTTTTACGTATTTAGTGGTTTTTAAATATTTCTACGTAGTCCTTATTTAGTCCATTACGATAAATATTTTCAAAATTTTCTCATAATAAATTCTTTATAAATTTCGACGATAATGTTGCGAATAATTCTTATAACTTTCTTAATTATTTCAATATCGCGAGTTATTGCATTTCCTTATTTGGTTATCAACGAAAGTGTTAATAGTAATAGTCAAACTGTTATTTATGAAAAAATGAGTCTTGAATATTGGTTCAAAGTCTTCCTTACTGTCTTCTTAGTTTTATTGGGTGGATTATTTTCTGGTAACCAATTTATTATTCATACTGTGTATATTATATGATCTGTTTATGTGGTTGACTTTTTTTAATACTTAAATTTATCTTGAACTTTTTAGGCTTGACCATTGGATTGGTAATTCGCATCTAAAATTTTGTTATTATCTTAATATATTTTTGATCTACTGAATCAACATTGTCCCAGATGAGCCTGGATGAAACAAATCTTCATATTCTCGCCCAGTCTGAAGATCCTAAAAAACGGTGCGTGCACGCATGCGTACGTGCGTGATTGAAAAACATACACGATTTTCCTTATTTATGATGCTTATTGTTCTTCTATTATTATTATTATTATTATTTTAGCAAATACGCTGCACGCATTCAGCCTATACGTCAAAATGGTCATCTGCTACTTGTAACTCTTCTTTTATGCAATGTTTTAGTTAATGAAACCTTACCGATTGTCATGGATGATGTTATGGGAAGCGGTAGTATAACTGCAATTTTGGCTTCTAGTGCACTCATTGTTCTCTTTGGTGAGATTCTTCCTCAAGCAATATGTACTAGATTTGGTCTTGCAATAGGTGCCTTCTTTGCGTGGTAAATAAAAAAATTTTTAATTTCTGTCATAATATGATTATTGATTAATTTTACTATTGTAATAATTGTAATATCTATCTTTTTAGGCCTACGAGGATATTGATTTGGTTAACTGTAAGACCATCCATGTACCTTTTTTCATGATAATTATTTTGTCATTAGCCAATTTTGTTTCATTATATTACTCTTCACTATACAAAGTTTGTTTTTTCATATCCGATTGCCAAGCTGTTGGATTTTGTTCTTGGTGAAAGTCACGGAATAGTTTATCGTCGTGCTGGTAATTTCATAGTTTTGTGATATTATTTCTAAAGAATCGATCTTTTAATTATAATTATTTAAAGAACTCAAGGAATTAATTAAGTATCACGAAACATCTAATGAGCATGGTGGTGACCTTAATACTGATAGTGTTACTATTATCCGAGGTGCACTTGATCTCCAGGATAAAGTAGCTGAAAGTGCAATAAAACCATTGGACAAGGTAAATTAGAAAATTTGTCCGTTATTATCGACGATTTTGTTACTTGTTCTCTAATCATTATCTCTCATTACCAGATTTTCATGATTAACATTAACACCATTTTGGATAGAAATACTATGCATGGGATTTTTTTAAGTGGATATTCTCGTATTCCCGTTTATGAAGGTTCTCGTAATAATATTAAAGGTGTTTTATTGGTGAAGGTATAATTAATTTCAATTACTAATTTTACTACAAAGTGTTGATTATCTCTGACATTTTATAAATTTTATAGTCTATGATCATGTATAACCCTGATGAAGCTCTTCCTTTGAAAAAATTTAACATAAATCCTATTATTACAGTTGAAGCCTCAACACCTTTACTCGACATTTTAAATTCATTCCAAGAAGGTAAATGTCACATGGCAGTAGTTGTTAAAGGATCAAATATTCTCGGCATCATTACGTTGGAAGATGTTCTTGAAGAGCTTATTCAAGAAGAAATTTATGATGAGTCAGACACGATGTCTAAAAAAACAAGTGGATTGAACGCTTCAATAAACGCTATTCGGAATAACAAATTCAAGAAAATGATGAAAAGAACAAACAATTTTTCCGATAGTAATGATCTAATTGCGTTTGAATGACCAATTGGTAAAAATTTATAAATTGATAATACATTAAAGATATGAATAATTAAGTATCTGTCTTGTTGAAAAAAGAGTAGCGAGTTATTAAACGTAGTTTTATAAAATATTTATATAGGATATTAAAAATATTAATATGTTAAATTCTCATTAAAGATTTTAATGTAATTGTTTT